CAGCGCTGCAGCAGCAAATATATTTATGGCTATAACTTCGTTGTTCTAGTAAAACTTGGCATACGGACACGTAATAACTAACTGGGGGTATTTGCAAAATTGCAAATAGTTCGAAATTCCAAGAATTACGGAAGCGAGGGAAATGCCAAAACATACATTTTCTGCGTATTCACATAAGGCACCTGGGACTAAAATTTGGTGTTCCTAGGTCTTATAGTCTCCGAGATATAGGCGACTATACGAATGGAAAATCGGGAAAACCCCGATAGGGGGGAAAATCAAAAAAATAAAACAAACTCGTATAGAATACACACATAACGCATCTTTGTGCAAAATTTGGTGTCTCTATCTCTTATAGTCTCTGAGATCCAGGTGTTCATACGGACGGACAGACAGGGCTAGATCGACTCGTCTGTGTGTGTAACTCCCTGTGATGTCCTGAGCTCTGTTCTTAGAATTAAGTCGAACGCCATTGGTATGGATAATATGCATCCAAAATTTCTTAAATTAATTCTGCCCAAAATAATTAATCACATAACGCACATATGTAACACTGCGCTTACGACTTCGTGTTTTCCCGATACTTGGAAATTAGCCAAACTAATTCCCGTTCACAAGGGTAAGGATGAATACAGACCAATATCCATTCTGCCATTTCTTTCCAAAGTTTTCGAAAATATGATGGCTAATCAAATCAATAAATACCTACCTAGCACAACATTCATTACTGTGCAATAAACAATCTGGTTTTCGCAAATTTAGAAGTTGTACTACTGCCATACTAGAAAATATTAGAGAGCAACTTGACGATAGTAATGTTACATTTTTGATGCTTCTAGACTTTAGCAAAGCTTTTGACACGGTAGATCATAATATCTTATGTACCAAGTTACACAAATTCTTTAATTTTACAAGCAGTGCTGTAAAATTTTACATGGACGAAGCCAAGCTGTGACAACTGATAGTGCTATATCAACATTTCTACTTGTAAAACGTGGAGTACCCCAAGGTTCAATCCTTGGTCCACTCCTCTTCTCGTTATATGTTAATGATCTCCCAGCCTCGTTGTCCAATTGCAGTGTTCATATGTACGCTGATGATGTCCAAATGTATGTTAGTTGTCCGTTACGTAGTATAAATGTGTGTGTGAATTTATGTAATGATGAACTGTCAAATGTTAGTAAATGGGCTAACTGCAATGGCTTGTCACTAAATCCTGGTAAATCGAAATGCATTATAATATATAAAAAGTTACTTAGTACGGAAAATTTGCCTAAGTTATCACTCAATAACGCACAAATTGAATACGTGGATCATATTATAAATCTTGGTATCACCTTCAACCGTTCTTTGTCCTGGAGTGATTACATATCCAAGGCTGCAGAAAAAACTTATGGCTTACTCAGACAACTTTCGTTGACTCAGCAATTCTTGCCCATAGATATCAGACTATTAATCGCTAAAACCTATCTGATACCCACGCTCTGCTATGGTATCGAAATTTTTAGTAACTGCAATAGTGCCTCTCAGCACAAACTAAATGTAGCATATAATAATAATATAATAATAATAATATAATAATAATATAGCCCGATATGTTTATAATGTAAAGAGGGGAGAGCACATATCCAGTTTGGCACACAGCATTTACCATATGAAGTTTAGAACATGGGTAGATTCTAGAAACTTAATTATGATGCATAGAATTATATATACCAGAGAACCGGGCTATTTATTTGAAAAACTACGTTTTAGTGCATCCTCAAGAACCAATAATATAAACAGTATACGATACAATCTTGGCTGTTCTGAACGGCAGTTCTTTATTCATGCTATTCGCCTGTGGAATCAGCTACCTCAATATTTAAAGAAAATTAGTAGTGCATCGCAATTTAGGGAAAAATTAAATTTGTTCTTAAAAATAAGTAACTAACAACATAAAATATATACAACATAATATAGTCTATTAGATTTAACTTCAATTTTATAAAATAGGTTAAGCAGGCTAATCAAACCGTCTTAAAATTGTTTAATGAAAATTTTATGTTTCTAGTGACTAGTGCATTAATTTATAAGAATTTATTTCTAGTTGCACTAGGAAATAATAATAATTATAATAAAACCTGGAAGATTCTCGTCATGCTGATCAAGAACATATATACTTTGTGGGGTCTGCCACGCCTCCTTCTGCCTGTTACATTTTTCAGCTCCCGCAAACCTAATATACTTCTGTACATTTCATGTACAGAGTATAAGAAGTTATGGAAAAAGCACTAACAACGGGAGAGTGGGGAGAAGCAAAATTCTGGAATACACATGTTCTGCGTATTCATATAAGGAATCTTGGACTAAAATTTGGTGTCTCTAGTTATTAGTGTCCGAAATATTGGTGTTTATATGAACGACTAGCAGGTATTGCCCGTCTTAACCCGCCTCAATATGTTTCCAATTGTATTTATTTTGTGTGTGCATAACCTACCCATATGTTTTCACCTTAAATGTTACCAGTAGGAAGGCATTTAAGGTATTTAAATGAACATTTTCTGTTCTTGACAAAAAATTGTTCAGTAGTCCGTTACATTTTTGTTCTTGACAAACTATTTCGTTAAACGAACATGACCACTATAACTAATATTTTTTAAAGCTCGTTTTCCCCCCGTTGGAGCTAGAATTTTCCAAAAGCCTTTCTTAGTGTGCTCCTACACTATGATGGATACTATGAAACGATACTTGAGTCCAAATTTAAATTCACATTTGAGTCTTTTCGTGGCATATTAAGTCAATACGGCCACGCAGCGATGAGCCACGATCAAAAACTACTGGCACCGATACCATCAAAATATCGAAGTTTGAATGCAATAAGCAGAATATTTAAATAATAAAATCTAATTATTTATTGAGATCGATAAGAACAAATCATATACATACATACATCTGCCCGCAATGCGAAGCAGAATATGCGTAGCTCCGTTATTCGGTTTCTGCTTTACTATCGCTTACGCAGTCGTTGCCTAGGGACGGTAACTGTAAACTTTTGGCGTTGTGCCTTTGCAAATAACATTAAATGGTCAAAACGAAAGAAGAAGAGCGAGCTAATGACTTGCAGTTGTTGTTGTTTTTAGAGCATTATTTTTTTTTACAATCAAACAACTGTGTTCGATTGCCCAATGTATACATTAATACGAATGTACATACATCCTATATTCATACACAGGCATACATACATACATACATACATATGTATGTATGTTTCTTTTTACTTTTTCAGCCGCACGTAGAGAACCGCACACATAGACACGAACTGTTGCTTGTTGTGTGTGTGAGTGTGTGTATGTGATGTCCCCAACTATTTGATATTTGTTGTTGCTGCATAAAGCTATTAATGAAAACCCTAATGCCAAATGCACTAAACAAAGAAAAAATTACTTTTAAAAATGTTACATAATTTTCAATTAATTAACATTTCTTGCTCTGTCAGTGCAAGACGAATGTACATATGTACATACAGATGTGCACATATGTATCTATCGACATTCACACATTAGTGTCTCACATTTTGATTTGGCTATTTCAATCGTTTGCACGCAACTACACGAACAGTTGTTTGCATGCGTGTGTGTGTGTATACTTAGTTGTCCCCAACTGTTTGATATTTTGTATTGTTTGTTCTGCCTGCTTTTGTAAAATGCATATTTTGAAAATCCTTGAATGCAAAGTTGTAGATTTTGTTACGTATTTTAAATCGATCGGACTAAATTTATAACACAAACTTTTCATTTGAAATAGTGAATAAATATTAAAACCCCAAAAATTCAAGCTCCAACACAAATTTAGAAAATCCGAGTATGCAGTTTTGTTTGCATTCTTTAATTAATTTAATAATTTAATAGAAACTAAGTTTTAAGTCGGTCGGTTGAAAAATGCGGATTTTTCAAACAAATTTTGGAGCTACTATTCCCCCCTTTGGAGCTCGAATTTTCCAAAATCCCTTCTTAGTGTTCATCTACACCATGATAGGATACTTGAGCCCAAATTTCAGCATCCTAGCTTTTACCGTGTGGGCTGTTGACGCGGATTGCTTTTGTGCCCCAACATTTTTTTGTACAGGAAAACCCATATTTTAGGCCCCAAAAAAAATTTCAAAAAACCAAGTATACAGTTTTTCTTGGAATTGTTCTGAGAGTATACAAACTAAGTTTAAAGTTAATCAGATGAAAACTGTAGATTTTTCATACAAACGTTGGAGCCTGTTTTCCCCCCTTTGGAGCTCGAGTTTTCCAAAATCCCTTCTTAGTGGGGACCTAGACTATGAAAGGATACTTGAGTCCATATTTCAGCTTCCTAGCCTTTACCGTTTGGGCTGTGCGTTGATCACCAATCAGTGAGGACAAACTGTTTTATATATATAGATGTTACGGGATAGTGGGATAGGCAACTGTATACAATTTGTGTCTCTATCTCTGAGATGCAGGTGTTTACACAGACGAACAGACAGGGCTAGGGAGTCTTGTCATGCTGATCAAAAACATATATACTTTGTGGGGTCTGCCACGCCTCCTTCTGCCTGTTAAGTACACATGCATTTATATGTAGTACTAGTGTACCTTTTCACCCTTTGGGTACAGAGTATAAAAAGGAATGTGAAGCGCAAATAAATGCTGAAGAGTGCAACTAACTCCATGACCTAATACACTAAACATATCTCACATCCTGTTAAACCTATATTATCGCATGTAATTAATTTGCAAATATGTGTCAACGAAGTGTGAAGCAATCAAGGAGGGCCGAGGCCCCATTGCCTACAAGGACAATTTATTCATATTAAAGCTATTACTGAGCAATATTGCTTCTCGAAAGGCAATATCCCGCTATTCGTCACCTTTTCCATCCACATATATATTTCCGAAGTTAAAAAATCTTCACAAATTACTAAATTCTTGGTAGTCCAATATCTACTGCAGTTAAAGCGTTTCCATTAGATGCATAAGACCAAAAATACCTCTTTTTATAAACAGTTTACCGATTTTATTCTCGCTGAACTTGCAGTGAAGCAACTTGTCATTGGGCTTGTCAAACCGCGACAATAATTTGCAGTGTCAGATGCATAGTTATACATAAGTTACAATGTAGCTTTTGTTGCTGGTTATGATGGAGATTACCAAGCGCGAGATTGAGATGTAAACAATGATCTGGAAGCAGTTGCTTAATCGAACAGTCCGAATCCCATGTCGTCGTCTTCCTCGGATTCCGACTCCTCCTTCTTTGCCTCCACTTTCTTCTCGACAGCACCACCGGCGGCAGCACCAGCAGCTGGAGTCGATGCGGCAGCAGCAGCAACGAACTTGCTGGGATCCTTGATGAACTCCTTGATGGTGGTGGCTTCCTTGAACTCCACTTCGGTGGTAGCGGCAATCGCCAATAGATTCTTGAAACCGTTGGCAATGCTGTGGGGAGCCGAAGCAATGGTTGGATAGCCCACGGACAAACACACGGCAGCCAAGTTGGCCACGCCCTGTTGGAACTTGGCTCGCAAGTCTTCGGGCTTAATGTCCAAGATTTCGGGAGAGAAGATGGAACCAGAGTCGTATACTTGGCTGACAAGCAACCCATACGAGAATGGCGAGATGTTCAGCATATTCAACAAAGTGGCCTCAGAAGCGCCAACTTTATCGCCGGGCTTCAAGATGGGCACATCATTGATGATTTCAATAGTACCCTTTGAAATCTTTGTTGGGATGGAGAGCGCTTGGAAGAAAGAAGTTTTCTCTGGACCAAGGCCGGTGTTCTGGGCCGGAATGATGACAGGCAAAGGCGCAATGGCGCCGGGACGAGCTGGAGCGCGTACTTTAGACTCAAGCAACTTGTCACGCACCTCAGCCAAATCGCCCTTTGTGAACACAAAGCCAACATTTCCCTTGATATGGGGCAACAACTTTTCCAATTGCGGGTTGTTTTCCAAGTGACCGCGGATGGCCTTGCGCATCATGGTGTTCTTGCCCATCAACACGACAGCCAACCCCCGAAGGCTGGTACGGATGTTCTGCATCTGCTTGGAGCCAACATTGTCAGCTCCGACGATGAAGCACTTTGGGTACTCATCGAACAGTTCCTAGATAGAAGTGCACGAGGTTACATTTAGAGGGAATCTATGCGTACATGATGCAGTGCTACTTACCACGACCTTGATGAAGTATTGAGCCTTCCATGCTGCTTTGTTCTCCCTAACCATTTTTAATGTTGTATTAGGGACTCGTTAAAGAATTTAAGAACTACAAAATAATGGAGAATACTATTAAAACCAAACGTAATAAAGTATTTTCAGCAGTATGGTTATGAGTTTTATGCAAATATACGCACGATGTATTACTTTTTCTACGATTTAATTTTTTCACTTACCAAAGCTCGAACTATACACTGTGGTGACTTTGACCAAAATGGCCGACTGTAGGGCGATTTTTCTTCATGTCGCTAATGGGGCATCACTGTTTCCTGAGTAATGCTTGAATATGACTATCGCAAGTGTCACCACATCTTAGTATAATATCAGCTGTTTGTAACCTATTTCGTAAAAATAATATACGTGTATAAAATCGATATATATTCCCCTGAAAATTTTTGAAGTGAATATAACCCCCATGCTTTGGGGCTTAAGAATGCTTTTGAAATAAAGCAGAAGACAATGGCATTTTAATATTGGCATAAATTGCATTTAAATACATTGTACCCAAAGCCGGCCTTGGACAAGGAGCTAAAAATATATAATACGTATATACAATGGGCAAGGACTACTACAAGATTCTAGGTATAGATAAATCTGCCAACGATGACGAAATTAGAAGAGCATATCGTAAGAAGGCACTGCAGTACCATCCAGATAAAAACACTAGCCCTCAGGCAGAGGAGATGTTCAAGGAAATTGTGGCAGCGTACGAAGTGCTCTCGGATAAAGAAAAGCGTGCTATATTTGATAGGCACGGAGAGGAGGGCCTAAGTAGTTCGTCCACTACATTTACACAGGCCACACCTGACGCAGATATGCTTCCTTTCATCTGTGTTGTCGGCGGATCTGTTTTGTTCGCATTTGCGGCGTACAAAACATACGAATTTTTTACGAAGAAAAAGAAAGTTCAGGGAGCTGATAACGATTCATCTTCAGAATAAAAGTTGCAGTAAAAGTGAAGATTTTAATCTCGAATGTGTGTGTATATAGATGTACTCCATGTCTGACAACTCATATTAAAACTAATGCTTGTATAATTGTTAATAATTATGATGTTTTCACTGATTTTATACTTGATTACTTTTGTGGTAGAAGTCATACTAATTTCTTGATAAGGAACAGTACCCATTACTGGAATATGACACTAATAATTATTACACAATTTCTTAAAAAGGCGAGTGGGTCAATGGTTTACTTATATCAAGGAAAACACAAAAGCCTATTACCGTTTTGTATTTTAAATTGCTGCCATATTCTGTATAGTCGATAAAAATGTCAAATTATATCGAATTGGCTAAGGCTCAGCTGTTCGATGGCAATCGACATTCACAGCTTGCACCAACTCTTTGAACAATTTATAGTGGTTACAATTTTAACAATAGTTACGATTTATTGAGTTCTTACAAAATAGTATATATTATTCATTGATGTAATAGTTCAAATTAAGCTCAATATTACATTGCAATATACATACATATACTCGACGTAGCTTGTACTCAAATTTGTCCATCTCTACTATATATGTATATTTTGATACACGGAAAAAGTGTTAAAATTTAAATCTTTATGAAACTAACCTAAAACGACAACGAAATTCGTAGTATTTAATAATGCAAAACAGCCACAACGCGGGAAAAGAAGCAGATTTTCTCTATTCAGGAATAACGAAATAAGATAACGGTGCAAGTACACATGGTTTCTAAAAATACTGAGGGCGAGCTGTTGGCGCGATAACGATAAGCAACCTCATTGCTCTTTAAGATTACTACGTAATAACGCCATAATATCTTTATAATACGTTGCAATTCTTTTGGGAAAACTATAATGGAAATGGCGGGAAACTCTGCCGAGATAGAAACTGATATATCCCACCACGAGGGACTGCAAATTTGCCAGCCAGAAGAGGTGCAGAAAAGCAACAACAACATGGACACATCACGCAAGTATGCATCTTTACCCGCTACCATGCCCTTAAGGATGTGCGATAGCAGCCATCATTGCAACAGTACGTACAACAAACGTATTAGTGACATTTGCGCCAAGGTAGCATCAGGCCAGCGCTTAATGATCATCATGCGCGGTGCTCCAGGCAGCGGCAAGTCTACATTGGCTGCGTGGCTTTTGGGTCAAACAGAGCTTCTGGAGAATTACAAGCTTAGTGACTTCGTACATAGTACCGACGACTACTTCTACAGGAATGGCGTCTATCAGTTTGATCGTAATTTGCTGACAGATGCTCACGACTGGAACAAAAAGCGCGTTCACCAGAAAGCCTCCGACGGATGGAGTCCTATTATCATTGACAATACGAACACGAAGATTTGGGAGATGAGGCCGTACGTGCACATAGCCGTGCAGTACGGTTACCTGTTGGAAATTCTGGAGCCGCAGACCGGCTGGAGCAAATCAGCCAGCAAGCTGTCTCAGAAAACTGTGCATGAAGTGCCCCGAGAAAACATTCAGCGCATGCTTGACGGTTATGAGAGTGCCACCGTGCCGGAATTATTAGAGGTGAGTGTATAAAAAAATATATTCTTATATACAAGTTGTAACTACTCTACTATCTACCCTACCCTCTGCAGCTGATAAAGTCAACAAATTACATACCGCAAATACGTCTACGACCGCCGCCGCCAATGGTATCGGACTCTAAACTTCCACTATTATCTACAAAGAAGGATCAGGAACAGATATCCACAGCAGAATCCTCTAAGCTTAATGCAAATGCTCAGAGCTATGTGCCTGCCTGTAAGGACCAGCCAGAAGTTAAGCCTGAAAAAGCACCGAGCAGAGAAAAGTCCCTTCTGGACTTGCTACGCGATGATGCCGACAAACCTTCTGAAATTCAGGCTCCACCAACTGAAGATGTCAATGCCCCACAGATTTTGCAGCGCCATGGGTTAAACTGTTGTAATGAGCATAAACAGTTCGTACTCCTACGTCAAATGTATCCCAACAAGCAGCTGACGGGGCTGTGGGATTTGTTTGTTAAGTGCAATGGAGAAGTGAGCTGGGCCGTAGATATTTTGCTGAAAGAGGATGAGCTTAACAAGACAACTGAATATGGACAGGAGGCGTTTGAGGACGATACCGAGCCATTTAAATGTAATTGCAGCAAATCGGCCAATGCCCATCATAAGCCGCTGCAAGCCAAATTAGATAAATCTGTTTCAGATACTACTTCCAAACCACTTCCCCAACGACAGCAACGCAGCAGACGCAGCAATCTAGATGCCAATAAAGAGCTGCAATTGCAAATTGAAAACTGTTTTGTCTTAGGTGATGAACAGTACTCAGAGCACACACGCAAAATACGTGACGTGCGTAACGGCATTTTGGACAATTCCCTGCCGTTTGTCCTGGAAAATGAAGGTGTGGTTGCTGCCGAAACCGAGATGGAAGAGGAAGCGGAAGCTGAATATGAAGAGGATAACTCCCTGCTGGAAATAGATTTGGGCGAAGAACTAGTCGCACAGTTACGCAATACTTTTAAGTGGGAAGGGACGCTTGGCGAGGTGTTGCCACCACAAGAACAAGTGGTCAATAAGGTATTCATGCCGCGCACGCTTGCCAAACAACTTTACATACTGTGGGTCGAATCCATCTACAACCAATTGGAAGAACAACGACACCAAACTCTGCGAGACGATGAGCAGTTCGCTAGGTTACTAAAACATCCTCAGTATGCGGACTGCAGTGAGTCGCCCAGCAATGTGACCGAATTGCTGGATATGGAGCTCGCTTGGAGTATTTATAAGAGCGAGCAACAGGCGGCGCAACAGGCGGCGTGCTCCCAGCCCAACGATATAGCTACGCACCTTACCAAAATGAAGCTCTGCGAGAAGTTTCCGGATGTTCCGTCGGACACACTCTTGGAAGTTTTTGCAGCCACAGGCAACAACTACAGTCAGACGGTGGAGGTTCTGGATAGTAATGTGCACAGCAAATTGAGTCATACCGAACTATTTGAACAAGCGATCCTGGAGAGGGAAAAGGTAAATATAGTAGAATAATTCTATGAATTCTACTTGAATTATGAAAAATACTAACGTTCTAAACGAAAAACGCTCTCTGAAACTCAGAAAAGCAATGGAGCTTAAAATGTTCACTTATGCCAATTATTGTCGCATGCAAATATTCCCTCAAAATTTAGAAGTTCGTTTTGTATGTCTACTAGGGCCATAGAAAATTCGAATGCTTTAGATACACAAAATCAATTCGTCATGTTGCTTAATTACCTTATTAATTCCGCTACGCTTTTTTTAGCCGCGAAAGGAATATCAAAATACTTGTAGTCTTGAAAAACAAAAATTTGAACAAAATGCAATCTCTATTATAAGTATTGATATGAATTACATAAGGTTTACTTATATATATTTATATTATATATATATTATATATTTCCTTATACTATTCATATTGGGGGCGATTACTTTTGTGATGGCGTAATTTTCGTTTTAATTTTTATTATATATTTTGAAATATACATAACTCATAATTTTAAATATCGTAATTGGTATCTCAGTTCATAGGTTAAATGTCCTGTGTAGGGTGATGACTTATAATATCTTTAAAGAAACTCAATTTTATGGTGTTTCAGCTGACTGAACAAGTGGCGGAGCACCAGAAACAACAATTGAGTGGATCAAGTAGTGGTCATACGCCAGGAGGACAGACTATGACATCCTCCGGAGGCAATAATAAGTCCCCGCAACTTCATGAAGAGGCCAAGTGTGCAGCGCTGCGCGACTTCGAAGAAACACGGAATCTGGCCGCCCATCATGCCCAGCTCAAGGCTGAGTGCTACCTGAAGGCCAAACAAGCGGTGCAACAGGGTAATAGCGGCGTGGCCATTTACTACTCGGAGATAGCACAGCTGCATAAACAGAAAATAGACGTGTTTAACCATCGTGCTGCCAATTGTATTATGGAGGTTCACAAGCATACTCAAAACAATCCGGACCTTCTGGACCTACACTATCTACACGCGTTGGAGGCTGTCAGCTGTCTCGATCTATTCCTCGACCGACACATTACGCAGCTGCGCAACAGCACGCGTGTTTACAAGCACGTTTTCATCATAACGGGACGGGGATTGCACTCAGCCAACGGTGTTTCTACCATTAAGAACAAGGTCAAGGCGCGTTTGGTCGAGCGACGTTTGCGGTAAGTGCGTGGGATGAACAACGCAAACATAAATATATTTCCTTCGTATATCCTTAATAGATTTGTTATTATGCAAAACTGTGAAGCTGGACCACTCAAAACATGAGTTTCCATATTAAAGGATTTATTTAATTCTTGTTTCATTTTATTTGCAGGTGGCACGAAGTCAATCCAGGTTTGCTTAAAGTCAAAATCTTCTCAGCCTCACGCCACTCTAAAAACTTTTAATTTTATACTCAGTAGCTCATATATTTATCTTCTTTGCGATCCCATATGTTATAATACCTAACATAATCGTATTCAAGATTTTTATATAGTATTTAATTACAACAAATTTATGTTTATTTTTAGAAGATTTTTCCATAGTTAATGGAACACTATATTTTATAGGTTTGTTATTTTTTATTTTAATATATTTTCTTTTTTGTTTTATTATTCTTGTTGAGAAATTTATACAAACTTAAACATTCCATTTGGAGTATTTTTAAAATCTCACTCAAAACCCATGTTCTAGAAGCGTAAGTTTTAAACAATTAGGTGGTGCTTTAAAAGATCTGTTAACACTTCAAACTCGATTAAAAATGCAGGGAGATAATTTTGTAATATGTACACGCAAAAGGTATATTTTATGAACTACAGTACAATGTATTTTTTAAGGAGACGAAAAAAAGTATACTCTAAGTAACCACAAGTTTAACGGAATGCGTTGAAATTATTTAAATTAGGTTTTAAATGTAAAAACCACATGCTACTATAATTTAAGTCACCCACGCTCAACAAATGTACATAAATTTGAATCGAATAATCAAGGTCACAATAGTTACTGTTATTAATCAACGAATTGTAAGCTTGAAATAATTTCAAAAAAAATTGTACAGATTTAAATGCATTAATTCATGTCGTGTTCAATAAATATTGTCATGCTTTCAGTAATAAAGAGGTCAAGGCCAAATATGTAAATAATGTAAATGTACTTATAATAATATTATCCGCATAACAAAGGACCACAATTGAATTGTAAACGAATTATAGTGAGGAAAATGCAACTTCAGCTTCCCCCGCTGAAAAACCTCTTGTTATAGAAAAGAATGTTCTTAAAATTTTGGCACGGATTTATAACAACAACAACAGCACAACATATTTTTTCTAATCGTTATTTAAAATACATACATATGTTCCTTAAGTGGACGATGGGTGACGGGCTTATTGATGGATTCTGTCAATGATACATTAAATAAATTATTGTTTTAATGTTTGAAGAGCATGTCTAACGGGTGTAGTCTCATTAGTCTTTTATTAGTGGTACTACTAGTACTTCGTTTTGGAATTTTTTCAGGATTGTAGTGTTAGGTATCTTGACCGTTCTCCAGCCGTGGATGGCATACATTTTTTCAGACTGGCTTGAATATTCTCTTAGATATTAAAAGCTTGCCCATTCGATGTAGCTTTGATTTCCTGTCCAACGCAAGTTATTTTTTCTAAGCTTATCATAAAGTTGTTTGCACTTAGCAGCAACGTGTGGCTTCCGGGTAACTTTATCAAGGATGCGACCCGATTGATTAGGTTCACCATAGGAATGGGTCAGAAATTTGCTTTGACTGAGACACAGTTTATTTGTTTAAGAGCTAATGTTGCTTGACCATTATACAAGTAATTCATCTTAAAAGCCACTTGCCGGAATTATATAGCTGCTCTTGAAGCACTTTAAATGCCTTGTTGGAGCATCTAGATATAATCAGGAATGTAGCATCGTCCTTATAAATTACAATTAGGAGTGATTATTTTGAAATCACCAGCATATCTAAAGTGTACAGTATATACCAGATTGTGCCAAGGACAGTGCCTTGATGGACTCTAGCCTGGAGTGGTTTTATATCGGAACGTTCATCCCCACATCGAACATAGAAAATTCTCTCCTCCAAATAAGATCTGAAGAAGATTTGGTACGGACAAGGCAGGTGCATTTTGAGTTAAAAAGGAGCTCAGCATGCCAGACAGGGTCAGAATTCAGGTAGAATTTGAATCCGTGGCTGAGCGTTAAATTGCCTGGAAATATCCAGAGTTTTTCCTCTGTGTTAAGCTTAGCAGGCCATGCGGGTTTGAGGTCCTTGGGTCACTCTACCTGCGTTGCGACAAAAAAATTTTAGTTTCACGACGCAATAATCCACAAAAAATAATATGCAGTGTTTAAAACATTGAGACAACTTTATACTCTTGAGCATAAAAACATCGTGCTTAAATTCGTTAAAACATAAATACACAAACAACGTGTAAAATATACTGTAGGATCATGTTTTAGTTACAGACTAATATCGGGCAGTCTAAGTTGTATAAAACTTTGGTTGGTTTTCGTTGAACGCTAAGTGAGTTCGCCCTGCTGATTTTGATCGTGGTCTTGCGCGCTTTCCTTGCGTGGTGAAATTACACGGCCGGTTGGGAATTGATCCTCCTTCCCGCCTTGTATGCGATTAATGGCTACCATCTCCAAGATATTTGCGCGATTGCGGTTTGGTGTACAACGCGGGGTTCCGTTGTTTACCTTCTCGCGCGGCGGGGTGTGTAGCACAATACCTTCGAAAATTGTCTCCAGACTATTGCTGCGACTAAACGCGACCATGGAGTCTTCCGTGCTATCGCTGGGCGGGCTTATTTTTGCGTTAATTTCGTGTAGGGCCACAAACTCGGGATTATTTTCTCTGCCGGGACTACCCTGCTGCCGATGCACCTTTTGTTGCTTTGGCGTCTCCACGTCCGCCCCAAATAAATCGTTGTCGATAGGCGAAGGTGTTCGCGCTTGTGGGGAAAAGGCTCGTATTTCGAAGGCTGGCAGCTCATCATAGTCGGTTGGCTCGTTCAAGTCACGTTCAAAGGCCAGAGAGAGATCACTTTCACTTGAGAGTGAGGACATCGAGCACTGCAAGCGGAAGGAGGTATTAAGTTGTACCTCATACCACGACATATTTAAACTGGCTCTATTTACCGCATCCGACTTGTCCATTGTATGTTCGTCGGCGACGCAGCTGTGTTTTATATGAATTTGAGGCCTTTCCTCGTTGTCGTGCAGCATGCCACAGTTTGAAAATATGAGATTCGTAAAAATGGTTGGGTGAACGTCAGGTATTAAAGCGCAGGTAAGTGTTTGCCGCGCACCTCTAACTTAAATGCACCCTTCGGTTAGAGCAAAACGCCGCACCAGTCGGCTCTAGTAAACAAATTAAATATTTGAGTGTACACATATACATTACAGATAACAACCAGGGCGCCTTGCTGTAAGTGTATCCCTATTAACGTTATATTTCTTTTGCGTTGTAAGACAGTGTCTCAAACCATACAACATATGTTGTGACAGTATACAGGAATCAAGCGTTTTGTGAGCAAAGAAACACAAAGGGGCTGTTTCTTTAGTAACGTAGATTTTGATATAAACAAATTCTATTGTGTGAAATAACAAAAATAATAATTTCATGTACTCATAATTAAAGCTATATTTTAAATTCATTCCACAGACAGTGACTATTACTGCTAGCAATTTTACTCTAATGTCGCATTGGTATTACTTTTGGTAGCTACATTAAATGTTTCCTATTGGGAATATTTGTAACCTCTCACCAATGTTACCGTTACCACAAAAAGTCGCGTGATTGAATGTGTGCGCGCTCCGAAATTTAGAAAATTGTTATCGATTGTAGAAACAGCTGACAGTGCTGGAAAGTATTACATATCTTTGGTGTGGTCACGAATAAGAAGACATGGTTACTTTATCAGCGCAAGCCATAAGCAAGTGGCAGCACCAAATGTCAAATTTTTCAAATAATTTACGTTTAACTTTAAAAGCGATTTGGAAATCGCTAAATCAAATAATTGTAAATGTTTAGGTACACAAAACAGAGAAATTTGTTTAATTTTAGCGAGGCAACACAGCCTGAAAATAAATCAAGGATTTAAACTAGTAGCTCATTTAATTATTTTAAATAGTGCATTTACTGCTCTGCACATATGGATATTTTGAGCTTTCCACTTAATCTTCTTTGTCTTTAAGCTTTTGGGTAGCTGAGTTCTACCGCAAACAGAAAGTTTGGGATTTTATACAGGTACAGGGCTCACGGGTAAAAGAATATACTAGTTTAGTGCAAATATATGTATATAACACACAAAGGACGTGGCAGACCTTAAAAAATCAATATGTATTTACATATATTTTTGATCAGTAAGACAGTATTTACCTGATGTGAGATTCATTAAACAGGAATAAGCAGGTAACTTAAAAAATTAATTATATAAAAAATGGTCTTTATGTGTAGTTTATTTTGAATTTGTCTTTTATTATTATTTATTATTTATTTTTGAGTTTGGTCATGAAACAATGTAATCGGTGAAAGTATATTCACCATCAAAAGTTGTAAAATATCGTAGTTTTATATGTCAATTTAAATAATTGTAGTTTTCTACATTTTTGAAGTGCTATAAAACATTTAATTTCTTATTATACGTTCGTTTATGTAAGCTTTTAGCTGTTTTCTATTGCATACTCAACAATATCCTTGTCTTACAAACAATTAATTTTAATAAAATTATTTAACAAATAGTTAAAGCGTAGTCAAAATATACACACAATTTACCTAAATTTAAATACAAAATAGTAAAGTAAATTTTTTAAGCGCTATGCCTAGGAAACAGTTTGGAAGTTTTTGTTGAGCGTAGCGCAGCACATTTATTTGACAAACTTTTTGCTTTTTGTTATTTAATGTATAAAATGAAACAAAAAAGTTTTACAACATCGTTAGTTATAAATATTTAATTAAATCTATTTGTTTTTAGTTTTGAGTATGAGTACATATGCACGCATGCATATCATAAATGTTTTTGTGTAGTTTGACATTTTTGGAACCCCATCCCCTCTCGTCTGTTTAAATTTCTTCATGTGTGACAATAAGTTTGCTTGGATATTGTTATAGCTGCTAGATTTTTCTTGATTCTGTAGCAGAACAAATAGTTTGGTTGTATTACGCTTTTCGAAGAAGAAACACGTTTTTAACAATTTTGTTTTAACGCCTAATACCCTCTGTAGTGATTTTAAGGATGCATCGTAGTAGAATATTTGACATACACGTACACGTTGCGTCAAAGCGATACAGCTTTAAGCTCTTGGAAGGGGTTGGGATTATAATAAACAACCATCATGTAGACAAAAATGTGGGTTCTACTATGAATCCATCTACATGAGCGCAGAAACAGGGACTAGATTTCACAAGCGATGAGTGCAGGAGCCATGTCGTTGTATTAGTATGCTTTCATTTTATTTATATCCTTGTGGATATCAAGGAATTGTGATGAAAATGTCTTTTTGTCGGATAATGAGTTTATATAGAACTTTTCCTAACCACAATATTTTAAACATATATTTTTAAGATGCAAAGGTTCGATGAGTTCTGTTTCCCAAAACGGAAGCTTCCTTTTTCGTAGTCTAGTTCCCACATAGAATGCATATGTACGGCAGAACAAGTATGTGAAAGGGTCCAGGGTCCTGTACTCTGTATTCTGTATTCTGTGCAATTACATACTCGTATGTAGCCCAAGCCCATACCTTTTTGGCACAAACTGTGAGCAACTGCTTCTTAACCACCATCTACTTTATGCCGAGTAGTCTTTTAAATGCGCGCCTGTAATCCAAATTGAATATCGTATATATGACCGGATTGAGACCGGAATTGATGTAGCCTAGCCAGGTGATGAAGTTCTTGAATTTATTGGTCGGACAGCAGCTCTGGCAAAATGGCAAAATGACATACATGAGGAAGAACGGCAGCCAACAAATAACAAAGACCCCCATGATTATCCCGAGCGTTCGTGCAGCTCGTCTTTCCTTTGACAGTGAAATCTTTTGTTTCTCCTCGATGAATTGGTTAACGCCGCCGATCTTCTTTGGCAGAGGTGTTGACGTCAGTGTTGACGTTACGCCAGTTGACGATTGTGGGGGCGTCAGTTTTAGCGAAGCTTGCTCGTCCACATTTTCAGTGGGCGCCTGGGTAACGCATACCTGTATGCAACCCTTGGGGTCGCTGCCACTTTCGGTGCTGATTTCGGCATTGTCACTGGCATCCGACTTGGACACTAAATTGTTTCCGATGGGCGGAAGCAGTTGCTCGGCCCCGCAGCCGCTTCCAGTGCCGTCGGCGTTTCGCTCTGCAGTGATCTGGGCTCGACGTCCGCTGCGTGCTTTTCCATGCTTGATGGAGTCTTTGATCTTAGAGCGCCGCGATTTCTTAACCAGCACTACCACGTGCTGATGTTGCTGTTGCTCGTTGTTGGCCGCCTCGGTGTTAATGTGCGTCTCGCTGCTTACACTCTCCTGGTCGTTTTGAATCATTGGCGTGGCGAAATGGCCTCTGTCGCGTCCACAGCAAAAAAAGTTGGCGCAGTAGTTGGCCAAGTGGTGTCCTTTGCTGCCCGACAGGCTGCTATTGCTCTGGCCGTCCCTGCGCACTGCCGTCTCCACCTCGCAGGACTTTAGTGCTATAGTGTTCAATTTATTGGCCTTGGCGCGCTCCCGGAGGCGCCGCCGTGTGGCTACGAAGATTTCGATGTAGACGATGGTCATGATGACCAGCGGTATGAAGAAAGAGCCCAGGGAGGAATAGATGACGTAGCCTCTCTGAGAAGTTAGCTCGCAGGGTGTGGCGCTGGTGAATTCATCGGGCCAGTCGTTCCAGCCCAGCAGCGGAGGACTGCTGATTAGCAGTGAGAGGATCCACACCCCCGAAATGAGCAGCAGCACACGCCCCACTGTCCGCTTTTGAGCGTAGTTGATTGGATCGGTGATGGCCCAGTAGCGATCCAAAGCAATGGCGCACAGATTTAGGATCGACGAAGTGCAGCACAAAATGTCGCAGGTCAGCCACATCTTGCATAGATGTATGCCGAACTCCCACCGTCCAAGTATCGAGTAGGCCACGTTAAAAGGCAGCACAAGGAGCGCAACAGTCAGGTCTGCCACGGCCAGCGACACGATGAAGAAGTTCTGGACAATGCGCAACGGTTTGTAGGTAAATACGCTTAGGATAACCAAAATGTTGCCAATGATGGTCAACACAATGATCACGGATAACACCACGGCCGTTAGCAACGCCTCCCACTCAGGCACCGCCAGTGGTACGCCCAGAAAGCTGCCCTTCACCTCTTCCTCTGCCAAAGCATTGCATTCATTCGGATTCGCAATGGAGGCCACTGTTGCTAGTGCCGCTGCCCCCGCTGTTGTAGTGGTCGTAAGGCGCTGGACCAATGAGCCCGAAATATTGGCGGCAATTGTTGCTGTTGTTGTTGCACGGGCGCCGTTCATGACAATGTCGTGTTCTGGCTCCTCTCCTAGTGCCCCACCGTTGGCTGTAGTCGCCTGTGTATTGTTCACGGCAGTAGCCGCCGTCAGCGCCGCTGCGGCCACCGTCGTGGTGACATTTATGAACAGTATTTGATCTGCTGATGGCATTTTGCATTTTGTGGAAATTCCAGTGAAACCTGGTGGTCTTTTATGGCTATTCTTGCTCCCGCTGATGTAGCTGAAATGAAAATGGAAAAAGTACGATTTGAGAAGCTTGCCTCCAGCGATATGTATTGGCAATAAGGCATATTGTATATTGTATATCAAAAAATTGCTGCCAAAACGAAAAACTCCATGTTAAAAGTAGAATAGAATTCTGTATCCCGACTTTTAAAGCGTCAGTACCCACTTCCGACAAAAATAAATAACTAGCATATATCCCATATACCTTTCCATATTTAATTTTCTTCATTTATATTTATGTCAACAAACATTGACTGTCCACTTAGAAGAACAATATAAAAAATATTGTAGAATGAATCTTATAAGCTAGGAAAGCCCTAGTAGGAGAAATCCAATCAAATAACAATAATATCTAACGAATGCCTCCGCTCCGGTGGGGGAATATTATTTGCCTTTCGGCTAGCTCTGCCCAGCTAGCCATCTCACAGTCAAGTGTGGTCAGAGGCGTTAATAAATCTACTGATATAGAAAACAAGAAAGGAATGCTAAAGTCGAGCAGGCTCAACTCTTAAATACCCTGTACCACCCCACAAAAAAGTAATTAAATTAATTTAATTAAATTAATTAATTAATTTAATTCAATTAATTAACTAAATTAATTTAATTAATTAACTAAATTAATTTAATTAATTAACTAAATTAAATATAAAATATTCCATGCATGCATACATACATTTACATTTACATCAGAATTGTGCCTTATGCGTGTTTGTGTACTTGCACATATGTATGTATGTGTGCATTGGGCCTGGTTATATGGCTATAACTTTCTTTCCAATCATTCTATCATAATGAAACTTGGTATACGGATATATAATTACTAACCTAATGTGACTACCAAATTTTAGTTCAAAATTCCAGGAATTACGGGAGTTATAGAAAATCGTTAATAGGGGGGGAGTGGGGGGATGGATCAGAAAAAATGAACAAACTCGTCCTTTCTCGGTCTCAGGAGAATCTGTATACCAAGTTTGGTTATTCTCGCTCTTATACTTTCGGAGATCCTTGCGTTCATACAGACAGACAGACGGACAGACAGACGGACAGACGGACATGGCTATATCGACTCGGCTTGTCATGCTGATCAAGAATATATATACTTTGTGGGGTCTACCAAGCCTCCTTCTGTGTGTTCCATGTGCACTCGCACAAAACTAATATATGTACCCTTGTACCCTTTGGGTAGAGGGTATAAAAACTGAACGGAAAGAAGAAGCTTAGAATTAATTAAAATCTTATTTAAAAAAGAACACAAAAAAGAAATGGAACACCAGACCCGGTGGGGGAAAATTTATTAGCCAGCAAGGCTTTTTATTAAAGGAAGAGACGGTTCGGCTGAGAGCAGGTGAAAATAATCATTATAAGTTGAGCATAAGACCCGAAAAGGATTGTGCGATGCATAATCAGTTGTACATCTGCTTAGGAAAAGGGGAAGATAATTTCTAGAAGGAACTGAGAAATTAAGACGACCTAATAGGAAAGAAGAATCGACATTACCGACAATCAGTTTGTGGAGAAATACAGCTCCAAGGACAGTCCTCTGATTAGCCAATGAGGGAAGATATGACTTACAAAAATTTATTATTCCTCCATGATTATGGTGCGCGAACGGCACAATAGGGTATACGTTTCATTTTGTTTTTTCATTAAAAGGTATTTTTGATTTATTATTATTACTTGCAGTTTGGCTCCAATAATTTGTACAACGAACGAAAACCTTGAAATAGCAACCCTTCTGAATGGGAAGTTAAATAATAAAGATTCGCTTTCGTCTTGCGTCTTCGTTGGACATCATCTGGTATTGTGTTTTCTGAATAGAGATGGCCGTGTTTTCGGTCGTGGAACTTTGTGGCACTGCTTGGGCACGAAAAAGCACGCACGAGTAAACACGAACAAAGCACGAAAAAAGCATAACAAAATTATCTTTAAAAGTACTAAGTAATGAATTGCAATGTATATGTCCTTTGACCAGCTTATTCCAAAAAACCCACTGTAAAATAATTTATCTACTCAACATTCTGGACTTCTGGCCAAATATTGCTTTGCTCGAATATTTTTTAATAAATAATGTGTTAAAAGTTTTAACTTAAAACAGATTATCAACAAATATAAACTATACAGTTATTCTAAATTGTTAGTTATAAGCTACGAATAGTTCGTTCATTTATTAATTACAGACATTAAATGACAAACTCTTTTTTCATGTCATTATTGGTCAGCGTGCGCGTGCTTGTTTAGAAAGGTCAATTTCTGGGCTGTAAAAAAGCCGAAAAAAGCCGACCATGTCCACATCTAGGTCTGAATATAAAAATGACTATTACACAAGAATAAGCACTTCTACAAGTATTTACACTAGATTCATAAATTCCATAATATCCTTAATCCCACGGTCCCACTGTCACGACCGTTTGGCCAAAGTCAACGACATAAAGCAACACCTTGGGGGCCACAAATTGCATGTGCTAAATTGGAGGAAGTAAATTTCGAGCCTGGTACGCAATATAGTAAAACCAGCTAATATGTATGTATGTACATACATACGTACGTGTGTGTGGAGCTGGAGCTGTCAACGCTCGACTATCGCTTGGGGAGTTGTTGAATGCTGCCTGCCTGCCTGCCTGCCTGCCCAGTCTGCTCGCTCTCTAATTGACAAATTCGCGCCAAGTCAAATCTGCCGGGATGCTTCGCTTCTCGGCTGGTGGACTATGCGGCTGAGACTGCGCCAGCACGAACGCCTTTTTATTGATGAGCATCATCAACTATCGACAATATTTCTATGGAATGAATTTAAAGCGAAAATGCATCAGAATATCATCGGAATAGATGGCAGCTGCACAACCCATTGTTGTGCCAGAGTTTGATTTAACGCATTCATTCATGGTGGGTTTTTAGAAAATGACGAAGTCGGGGCAACTTCCCGAGAGCTAAGAACATAGCAAGAACTTTGCGGAATTCGTCGATGGTACATCAAATTGAAGCGTCCTTCTATGCGCACGATTTTTTACAGAGTTAGGAAAACCTAATGCTTGTGTAGTCTTTCTGCAAGGCTTATACTGCTCGTACTTGTATGTGTGTAATAAACCCATAAGTGGCTGAGTGGGCAGCTGGAGTCCATTTGAAAAATGCTGGACATGTCACAGTGTCAATCAGGGTCGTCGCCAACTTCCAGCCAAGCGCAAAAGTTCATAATCAGGCAAAGTTTATCGGGTTTTTATGGGTGTGAGTGCCAACTGCCATCTGTTTGTGGCTATTGTTTTCAGCTCGCGCGCCAATTGTGCGGCAGTTGATTTGGCGCCAAACTTCCTAACGACTCGTCGTTGTCGGCGTCATCTATTGCCCAGTATCCGTTTCGCAATCCCTATTTTTTTATGCTTTAGTTTTTATAACCTATGAGATGAGGGATGGGCCAGCCACTGACTTTCCAATCAAACTTTACAGACAAACGTAAGTCAGTCAGTTGGTCGACCAATGCTTTGCTTTTTTTCAACGTTGCCGCCGCCTCTTCAACTGCAATTAATAGAAAACAGTGCAAAAGAGTTTGGTTATGAGGAAGCTCATTATTATAAAGGAGCTCTATACCTTTGATTGGCTCGATGAGGCAGGACGATTCAGCTAATCTTATCGGTGGGTCTGCACGTACGGTTTGCGAGCGGCACAAGTGAGCTTAGCCTTCTCACAGAAATATGTGCTTGCTGGGCTGGTATTTGTATTTTCTTTTGTTTTTAGGCTTAGTAACTTTTGTGACTTTAAGTTTTGTGTGTTCAGGTTCAGAAGAAATGTCTGTATGTGTTCCTTAAAATGTGTAACTGGCAGCTGCCCACTCATAAATGCTAAGTAACTTAATGGAAGAAGAGGACGCAAATCCTGTTTAGGTACAGATAGGCAACGAGGTCAACCAGGTCACCCACTGGATCATGCAGACTCTACATTATACCCTACAGTATATTCGTTATATGAAGTTCTTCGGTTGAGGTGAGTTAAGAGGTAATGCCAAGGTGCATTTCAAATCACCTAGATTGCCCTTTCGCTAGAGTCTCTGGTAGTCAGCTCTAGGAGTTGTCCAATATCAACAGTATATCCACAGCACATTTATTTCAATAGCAGATCACTGGAAATAGCTCCTCACAATTATAACAAGGACACTTATGGGTATTGGAGTAAAATAATAAATAGATAGAATAAACAAGTGGAAACACTAAGGTCGAGTGCACCAACTTTGAAATTCTCTGTAAATATGCGTGGCATAATTATATAAATTTTAAAAATAAACACATCGGCGTTTCATTACAAAAGTATACCTTGCACCCGAATGTTGAAAAATAATAATAAAAAATCGCAATGTATGTAAATGATCGAAACTGCTTGTATAGGTAATATAATATACACATTTGAAAAGGTACTTGTCTTATTTCTACGCTGACTAGCCTAATATGTATCTAAATTAAATTTGTTGTTTAATGATATCTTCAACATATTATGAAGCTTATCGAAATCGGAGCACTATATTTTATATCAGCCTTAGCGTAAAGTTGATTTAAGTGAATCCACAGAACAAAAACAGCACATCTATTGAACAAAACTAATTCAAACTTATTCCCATGGAAGGCAGACATCCAATCACATTGAGATGTAAGTTTAATTAAAGTTCTTCTCAGTATTAAAAAGTTGGACAATAAAATAGAAGCGAATCAAATGGCGGAAATCAAAGACTGACTGAACAAAGCGATTAGCCTGCGGGCATCTTTGCACCAAATAAACTGTTCGCCAATTGAGAGCTTGCACAACCACCTGTTCTCATTTTCCCTTATTACCCAATTCATTAATTACTTTTACAAATTGATTTCGTTGCTGCCGTTCGCGCTGTCGCCCACCAAGCTAGGGAGACAGTGCAAATAGTCGAACTGCTGCTGCCACCTCCACCTCCACCTCCATCGGCGCCGCAAAAAGGCCTCAGTGGAGAGGTGCACTCGCCCCATAAATACGCAAACATGCGGCACATATGTGAGTACGTGAGTAAGAAGAACCAAGGCCGAACGTCCATTTTAATGTGGGTAGCGCACGAGCCCCGCATTGGAGACAGACAGACAGACAGACAGTTCAAAATAATGCCAAGCACCAAGACAACAGGATGTAGCATTACTAGGTACAATAAAATATATCTTCGTACACATACATATGTATGTATATGCTAACAAGGGCGTACGCAGGGGGGCCAGAAGGGCCATTGCCCCCTAAATCTTTAGAAAACAAGAGAGAACGCTACAATCGAGCAACCCCAACAGTGAAATACGCTGTACCCAGACAAACTTCCGGCATTGAGTTATATACACTCCTAGAAGAAACAAAAAGAAGAAGAAGAGCGAACTTGATGCTACTTGAATTTGTGGGCGTAGTATTAAAGTGAAATTGAATAGACCTTTTTACCCTACGGGTACAGGGTATACAAATCTCTCGCAATCTGAAATCGAACACACATTCATTATTATGGAACTAAGTTGGGTTTTTCTGATCGTGTGCACAAATTATTATTTTAGCGCACGCATTGTTTAATCAAAATGTTAATTTGTTGGCTCCCCCTTTGTAGAATGCTGCGTACGCCCTTGTATGCTAATTATACTTGCACTACTTTTATACGGTTTTACCTTCGGCAAGGCATTCTTAGGATTTAATTTATTTGAACATAAATTTATTCAGATCACAACAAGTACAGATATACAGTAGTGCGGCTTTACATAAATACTCTTCTGTGGAAATTAATTGAAGTAATTAAGGGTGTAATATATAATATAGTTCTTTTTTCTTTCCACATCGGCTTTGGACACGAAAATCCTCTGTTGCTTTCAAACAAGAATGTTGAACAAATCGGCATGAGCATTTGGCCAAATCAAAATAAAGCCTTAATAGAATGTTAGAGTCATGCACGCCCGACTCCTATACTATATACCTACGAGTTATACATTTTGTGTACCCTGTCCCAAAGGGTAACAGTTCTCGGTTGAACGTCAGTGCTATGACGATGGGGATCATCACATAATTATTCCATATCTTGGAGTCAATCTTAACAGTATGCAGCATGCCTTTTTATTTTGGAGAAGAGCAATATTTAGTAAAGATTGCTGTGAACAATCAACTGGTAGATGACAAAGTTATGCACACATTATAATAAAATGTAGTATAAATTAATAGTCAAGTAAAACTGACATTAAAATTCCCTACTTCCATACAAACCATATCTGTTTAAGTAGCCACATCTGTTTTAAGTATCTTTGAAATTGTGTGCAGGATGGGTGAATTTCTTTAGTAGGTGTTGAATGCACATCAGTATTTCGATTATCTAATGTGTACTTATCAATTTTGAATGTCAAAAATCAGATTGTGTGAGACTACGATTACTCTTACAAGTAGAACAAGATTTCGCACTCATAAAAGCTGTAGCAAATATCAGTTTTTAAAAGAAATGCTCAAACATGAAAAGCCCAAAAATCCTAACAATAGGGGAGGGGGTAAATAATAATAATAAAAAAGGCTCCCTTTCTATAGGCATTACATACGTCAAGTTAGGTTAATGATGGCTCAACTTTTTCCGAACAAAATTGTTCGGCTGACCGTATGGAATGATCCGTTGAATCCCTATTCGAGTTGTGCCTCTTGACAACATTTTGGGAAATATGAAACTGCCTTTTGATAAATCTGCTACAAGCACAACCCGAAACCAAGCCATGTTGCAGGATTTCTTGTTTTCGAAAGTGCATAAAGAGCATTCGATTTCAACATATTTATTTAATAAAGGAAGAGCTTGATGACATACTTGTATTAAGAAGCAGTCCGCGCTATGCGACAAGGTGCCAATTTAAATTAAAATTCAAAATTATGAATCACTCTTTTGCTTTTAATTGATTTTTCTTATCACCTTAGCCGATTTTAAGAAAGTTATTTGAAGAACGACCACTTACCATAGTTATTGCCATTTGTTCTCTTTAGCTGCACACATTTACCAGATAGAGTAACTTTGTAAGACGCACACGTCGCTTAGTCGAGGCAAAAACTTTATGTAACTTAATGTTACTTGTCAACAGCTGCAAATAAATAAGCAGAGAAGCTAAAAGATAAATTGAAATTTATGAAGCAGGCAAAGGAAGCTAAGGCGATGGTGTATGCCATGGTCGTTGGGATAGAAGTGCGAGTGGCAACCACCCATTACCTATCCTGTCAAATAGTTCTCAGTGCTAAAAGGGTACTAAGTTATTTGTATATACATTTGGAAGCATTGTGACCCTTGAAGCATAACAGCCTCAAATATGTGCTACATGAGAAGCATATACGAGCATATACTATACATAGTACTTAGTAGTATCTTGTATAAGTTTACTTGGCACGCAGCCGTTGATGCACTTTGGTTGAAATTAGAATGAAAACACGGTCCGAAGGCCTGTTCACTCTTCCACCTGTCGAAAGCTACAAAACGAGAAATAATAATAGCAGTGTCAATGTGGGTTTCCCTGTCTCTAAACTTATTAAATTACACAAGGAGCCCAAAAGCATTCAAAAGTCAAGGCGAAGGCAATGGCGATGGAGATGGAGATGGAGATGGGTGAGAAGTGTGTCAGGCAGCAGGAGACTGTTACTCGGAGCTCGGCTCGGAGCCACCATAACAAGCTGTTCTTGTCAGCTTCCTTGCTCTGTCGCCTTTCCGCCTGTCTAAAATGTTAAAGTGCGGCATATTTTAGCTAAATATTGCAACTACACCTGAGAGAATAATACAAGTACAGTATATACACACAGATATGTACATATGTGTGTATTATGTGAGGCACACGATCAGCGTTAGAACGTTGGGTGGCGGGAGGTGTTTGCATATGCGCTTCCACTTTCCTCTGTCGTTGCGAAACTCTAGGCGATAACTTCAGTCGCCTCGAGCTGAATAAATTCAAGGCTAATAAATTATAGTGTATTGTTGCGCACTCCCAACGCTGTATTTTAGCCACAGCTATAAAGCACTTGGCCTCCTCCTCCCTTCCCACATACCTATAAACGCTAATCGCCTTGGAGCCGTATTGCCTTCATCTTGACAGCCATTGACCTATGTGGTGGGGCTTCCATTTAATTTATTTACCACAAACCAAAAACACACACAGCACCAATATGCCGCTATAAAGAATTTAGAATTTTAGCTCAAGAAAGCCTTTTGTACTCTACTCGTGTTAATGTGCGAATATGAATTCGCATGGTTCTGAGTGCTTTTATTTGCGGCCTGTCAATCAAATTTTGAAGTAGCTTTTCAGGCTGCCTTTGTCGGAAGCGATTGTTACGGGCTTTTAGGTCATGCTGCGAACTGTGTCACATTATCAACACCCTTGTAATACATCAAACTGTATCCAAAGGAGGCGAGGCCGGGAATTCAATTGTGGCAACAAAGAATTACAAATTATGCGTAACTAATTTGTTTTGTGAGCCCACATGTTTGGGGCCCTACTTTCCATACGCCTGGCATACAATTTAATGCTTAATTGACGTCGTTCAAGGCTCATTGATTCAACTTCTAGCCTTACCCTGACAACAAAAAAGCTATTAAATGGCAAGAGCAGTCAGACAGTTCCTGCTTTGAGAGCACAAATTGAATTCGGATTGAAATATTTTAACCAAATTATTGTTTTCAAGGGAAAAAAATATTGGAAAAGCGGGATCAGATAGAAAAGTTTATTAAATTAAATGCCAGTATGAAAATGGATATAGATTGGTAATCACTGCAGAACAAGTACTAGAGGAAAAAGTGAATTATAGCTGACATACTATATAAAAAAAAGACTCGCTATTAACGTTCACTCAGGAAAAAATAAAACGAAGCATTACAGACCTACTTGTATGAGACTGAAATTCAGGCCATTTTGTGCAATATAATTTGTTTTATAACGAGCATATTTTTATGAGTGTATGTTGGCATCTTCAAGTAAAACGCAAAATCATTTATACCAGAAATACTTGTACACGCACTCCCACGTGCTTTGACGTGCGCGATTCCAAATCGACAAGCACGCACATGCCCCAGCCCGACAGTTGTTGGCGTTTCTTGCCGTTCTTCCGGAATGTAAATATGTAAATAAATACTAAAGAAAAGCAGAACCGACCATTATTTATTTCGTATTTGGCCCGCACATTGTCAATATTTGTCTAATTCATCAAACTTTTGCTGCGAGGCATACATAGCAGCGACAAATGCCGGGCCCCTAGCTCTGAGCTCCTGCGTCTGCCTGACAGCTTTAGAGGAGGGTGTGGAACATCGCCAGCCCCGGCCATCAAGTTGTCGGCACTTCTTGCCTTCAGTTCAGTTCTCGGCACATAGCTAGGTACAGTGGGTGCCAGCATATTGGCGACAGTTGGCGCCTAAGAATATTTTGATGCAAACATCTCTTCAAATTCTCAATTACCCCTTAGTATCACTAAAATGTTCAAATAACCTGCGAATGAATGCAATAACCAGAAGGAAAGAAGTAGACCTCACAAAGTCAGTGCATATTCGTGATCAGTATGTCGAGACGAGATATCGTAGAATGTAGAGCTGAAATAACGAAACTTTCTATAATGTATTATACAAGCCTTCGACAGATCAAGATTTTGTTTATTCAGGGGGTCTAAGTCTCGTGTGTCTTGGAATTTGACAGTTGCACCCTCTTGTTGCTTATGTGTGCTTGTGTCAAGGAAGTTTTATCCATAAATGTAATCTTTGTCGAAAGTTGTTGTGGATGCTGCTGCTTTGTCTCAATTCTGTAGCGCTTAGACATAAATGAGCACAAATTGTACATTTATTAAATTATTATTCTTTACTTAAATATTTTCATTTAAATAAATAAAATATTAAATCAAAAGAGGAATGTATTTAAATTAAACAATTAACTGCAAAGGGTAGCACCCGACTCGATACTTATATGGACTACAAAATAATAACTAGAACTCTGAATTTTCGTTCTTATGGCATATCTATTGAGTTACAAGTTATAGGCCTTCGCTTTGGGAGCAGGAACAGTTCAAATAAGCTGGGAGCTACTGCATCTATCTCTATGTACATAGATATGTATGAACATGTAGTTATAGCGCACAAATCGAAGAATTTATTTATGGATTTTTGTTTTGTGTTTTTCTCTTCTCTCCAAAAAAACATGCTACAATGTTACAGTCGAGACAGCCCGGCAGTGTAATACCCTGTACCTCCCGCCACCGTGTTTATGGGTTGTTAAATGGACGTACAACAGAAAAAAATAAATAAATGGAAGAATAAGACCGAACAGAAGTTGGTGTAGTTCTGCAGGAAAATTGTTTTGCTTTCAATTTTACTTAGAATTTACCCGTTTTCATGATATTTAAAACAGCAATAGAGTTTTAATTTACATGAGCACTTTGTATGTTGTATGTTGTAGCTTAGGGATTTGCGTAAGAAAGATGAAGGGTCGACATAAATTTGACAATAAGAGATGTTTCCTAAATCTAGGCGTTTATGGCACAGGCGAATGGAAGGACTGGTCTAGATCGATTTGTCTGATCAAGCTGATTAAGAATACAACAATTTATTGGGTCGGAGCTGCCTGTTGTACAAGCCTAATATACTCTTTTTTAGTCTTCGTTTGTAGGGTATACAAAAGAAACGGCGGCTCCATTTGTATTGTGAACAAAGGGAAGTACAGAAAGAAAGAGTGCGTTAAATATATAGACTGTATATTATAGACAGACAGTCGGCACAGATGTACTGGATGTACTGCAGATTGCCAACTGTGCCCCGCACAGTTCGACAAACAAGTGAAAATGATGAGAAAGTATTTATGATAAATACCAAGAGGCAGTAAATCTGGGAATAGCCATTGTATCACCTTAAGGTGTGCTGCAAATTCTAGGGCAGCTGAATTTTGTGGTCTGGTGTGTAACTGATGAACAGGGAAGAACAAACACAGTACATATATTTGTGTATTGTATAGTACGAGTGTGTACAAAAAATATTTTTTTATGTACGGGTATGTATGGAATTAAATATATGAATATACAAGTATATCCAAGAACACCATGTTTGTGTTTCATGGTGGGTTTTATGATGTGAGAAATTTCCTAACTTTGTATTTTTAAATTTTTATAGTACGTTCAAATCCGTGTACATCGTCTACAATACAATTATTTGCATAAAATAACAAATATAAATATAATACCAATATACATATTTTCTAGTTTGTCGTACAGGAGTTGCATAAAGGGAGGAAGAAACACGGGCACACTCCTGAAAACTAAGCGGCCAGAAAAGCAAATAACACCAAACGAAGCCACAAAATCTAGTAGAAACCAAGTGTTAGCTCCAAACCAAAGCCCATGGAAACCAATGTCTCTATGCAATCCGTTTTTTTCGGCCCACACAGATCAATCATTTGGCATCAGCTGGATATGCATGTACGAGTATATGAACAAATTTGATATATATGTTTGTTTATGTGCTTATATTAAAATAATTATAATATACAAAGCGTTTAAGCATGCAGTCTATTAGTCTGATTCGAACTATGTATTATTATTAGGGCAGTCCGAAATGTTTTTAGCCCGATGATGTAAACGACCTCCTACATTAAACAAACTTTGATGTTGTGATAAGACAGCTGTTAATGTGTTTCGTTCAACAAGCTCCGGTCAAACAGTCAAATTGTTCGCACAAATACATATTTCTGGAATTTCACAAGTACTTTTAAATGTTGTTTTTAATGTTTCTTCTTGCCACGCATATTTTATAATTTGTTCTATTATTTTTGCTACTAGCACTTGATTATTGATATGTATATTGTATTTTTATACTTGTAGTATACCTACATATGTATATACATATTACATACATACATATGTACATATTTTGAACTAAAAATTCCAACCGCTAATTGTTGATTAAGGGATATGAGCGAGTCGGAGATTTAAAAATAATTTTATGTGTGATGTGAAAGACGTGTTTTGGGTTGCTGATTTTATGATCTGATATATTTTATTTTGAGCTGGAAACTGTTGTTAAGGAAAGCTTGTTTTCTACCCAATCCCCTAGATATGAATCAAAAAGTGC